GGGCCACCCACCCTGGGGAGACCCTGCGCAGGGGACTGGCGGCTGGGTGGCTGCTGACGCTGTTCCCAGGGGCCTCAGCCAGTCGGGCCCCACAGAGAGCTTTGATGTTGGGTTAACCCTTCAAAGACCAGAACCTGGGCAAAGGACGGTGGCATACCCTCACTGGCTGAATGAGGGGCTCAGTCCCAAACAGCGGGAGGCCGAGACCCTCACAGTCTCCGCCCCCAGCATCCATTAATGATGACAACCGATATTATTTTAAATTATTTATTTTTTTCTGTATCTCAAATCACAGAATAGTATAATACAATTCTTCTCAAGCTTAACATACTCATTTCAGATGTTTTCTTCTTTTACAGCACGGACAAAGGTGTGTAGATTGATGAAAATATCACTCAGAGCTTATTAAAACTAATGCTTGCTAGGCGCAGCCTGAGCTTCTGCCTGGAGACTTACACTCCCTGTCTACTCGGCGGTGGTCCCTGAGCCGCCGCTAGTGGGATGCTGCTTAAGACTTGTCGGTTAACTACTGGAAGGCATTTCAGAAAACACAAATTATACAGAAATAGCTCTTCTATAAAAAAGTCCATACAAAAATAATAGCATTTATGCAAAGTCTCAGATCCTACAAAATAATATATTAGCCTGTGTACTTCACTCTAGGAAGGAAACTAAGAGGCAAGTGAGATGTGGTTTGCACTTTGCTTACCTCATTCAAGCTACGCCATGTGTGACCCCAGTGTACGCTTCATGCAGAAAACGAGCAAAGTAACACTTTTCTGGAGATGCAGCTGGGCAGCACAGGAGCAGAGCAAAGCGTCTCCAAATGGAAGGCGAGCCATCTGGGGATGTAGAGCAGCGACCTCCTCCCTCTGCCCAAGGTACAGTGTGCACCTGGTCCTTCACAGCACTGATGGGGGTCCCCAGAACTCGAGCCTCCTGAGCAGCCAGGGCAGGTGGAAGCCTGGTCCCACTGCTCAGGGTGCTGGGAAAACCAGAATAGCAACGTGTAGAGAAGCCCACTTTCACAGAGAAGCGGCTGGATCACTGAAGATACTTCAGAATGAGAGAGAGAGATCTGAGGAGTCTGAGCGCGCAAAACTAGCACAGCTTTTGTGTTCAGATGTGTCTGAGGTGGAACAACTGAATCTGAAGTAAAGCATGGCAAGGGGATGGCTTCTGAAATCCAAATGATTTGGTTGGGAACAGGCCATTGTGGCCAAGATGGCAACGCTGCCTCTCACAACCTGACGTCCAGACGAGCGAGCCCTTGCCTGGGGAGTTTCTTGTGACTGTAACCATTTACACTGGGATCCTGAGAGGCCCCATGCTCACACGACTTGATGGGGCTTGGGAGGAGAGATCTCTGGGGCTCCTCAGATTTTTGGCACCTGTTGGCAAGACTGGAACTGTGTGGATGGAGTATGGGGAGGCTGCTTTCCAGCAGGCAATGATGGCTGGAGGGAAGCTGGCACCTGCTACAGAGGCTAAGGGTTGTTGAGCCACAGGCCCTGCGCACTTCCCACCTCTGAGGGAGTGGGTCCCAAGAGATGTTCTCTCCCCTCCTGAGAGCCTGGGAGAGAAGACGCAAGCCTGACTCTCCACTGTGGCTACAATGACTTCTGAGGCAGCTTTCTAAGCAGGGAGGACCAAGGTCCACGCTGCTAGCATGAAAATGGGCCAAAGCACTACAAGGTTTTCTACATAAAACGCATGATCCAAGAGCTTGTCTTATCTGAAAGAACTGGACAGAACAGAGTGTAAGTGAGCTTCCCTCTCGACCCCATGAGAGACGGATGTCTACCAGGACAGTGTTTGGACCTGTCAGGGACTTCCAGGACACAGATAGGAATGCTGAACTTTTCTGTCCTAATATTTTTCCCTTAGCATATTTCGAACAAAGATGTATGCGGGAAAACTGGATCCTACAAAGGTATTTTTGCTAATATGTAAGAGGCTACTTCCTGAGGCTTGTTATGATTTATAGACCTTTTAGCAATTAAAAAAAAAATTGAAGAACCTTCCCATTAGACTGCCCCTTGTGAGTCAGTGTTTGGCTCAAGTTTAGGTGAACAAAACATAGGCGAACTGAATCAGGGAGCTGGAAGGCACATTTCTGAGGATTGTTTAGGTGAGGGGATGCAGGCTCCTGCCATGTGTGGTGGACTTCAGAAACTATGTATTAATGAGCACTAGTGCTTGGAGCCGTTGCCTGAGGTGTGTAGAAATAGGGAGCCCTGGGAAGCTGCATATCACCAGAGCCAGTCCATATCAGCATGAAGACCACCTTCCCTGTGTTCATTTACAAACTAGATCTTCATGTATTAGCAACTTATAGAATACACGTGAATTCTCCATCTCACATCATTGGCCTGCAGTGGAGGTTCAGCTCAAGGTAATGAGGCCAACTGAGAACTTTATGAGCTTGCTGCAGCCTTCACCTGGCTTACAGGAGCTCAAGCTAAGGTTTGGCATTTTACTCTCCCCAAACAAAGCCTGCCCCACACTCATCACTAAAGGGGCAAATTTTCAAGGCCTTCTGACACAGATTTATTGAGTAAGGACAACCCATTTTGTTTGGGAAGTGAGCTTATAAAACTGGGCAGATTTCTCACTCGGTGTGGTTACACCACAGCAGAGGCCATGCCTGTCATCTGCTTATTCCGTCTGTCTGTTCAGACTGTCTCAGGGCATAAATCACACTGTTGTTGGAACAGCATCACTTCCTCTAACTTAAGATACCGGTTCAGCTGTAGAAAGAGTAGTTAGAAATCCATGTGGGGATACAGCAGGCCATTTCCCCATCTGGATCATCTGATAGGGTACTTTCTTTGTGAGGACAGTTCCGGAACTCGCTTCTAAAATTGGTAGAGTGCTGCTACTGCTCCAAATGTAAATTTTGCTAACAGGAGGAATCATCTTCATTCAGCCGGCAAAACAACAAAAATGACAGATTTTTTTCTCCCCACCACTTCTTGTTTTTTTTTTTTTGAGACGGTTTCTCTGTGTAGCCTTGGCTGTCCTGGACTCACTTTGTAGACCAGGCTGGCCTCAAACTCAAAGAGATCTGCCTGCCTCTGCCTCCCTGAGTGCTGGGATTACAGGTGTGCACCACCACTTCTTTAAAAGAATTGAGTTAGATGCAAACTCATGGCCACCAGCCTGTTTTCTGGGTTCTGTTTAGAGGAAGGAGAGAGGGTTGAGTCCCTTCCTTCCTAGGTAAGGCACAATAAATGCAAACACTGACAGATGAAGGAGGCTGCTAAGCACTGAGGGCCGAGCACCGGGTAGCCTCTGGAGCTGTTCTTCACATGGAGTGTGCAGGCCAGAGGCAGTTGCGTAAGTGACCAGGGCAGTGACACCCGACCGCCAGTGGTGCTCCACACTTAGGTATAACAAACTGACCCCCCGGAGGGAAAAGCCTCTTGAACGCCTCACTAAGCAGCGTGACTGGCACTCCCGGGGCAGGTAATGGCTGTGTGCAAGGCCCTGGGCCCCCTTCCCGCGGAGAAACGCAGATGCCAGGAGCACAATTTACCTTTGTGCCCTTCCATTTTGATTCCTGCATTCAATTATGATTCAGTGTTTGTTGGACCCAGAACAGTGTTTAGGGGAGATAAAGACCCGACTTCATCTTTCTCAACGTCTCAATTCAGGACCCTCCCTTGCCTCACCCCCCTTTTTAAGGGGGAGGGAGCATGATCTCCTCATGTAGCTCTGGCTGGCTTCAAGGCCCTGGGGACCCTTTGGCCTTTAAGTAAGTATTACAACTATGTATTTTCACTCCTGGTGCAGTCTAGTTTTAAGGTGTCCTCAGTACATCACAGAGGAACAGGCCTACTCTTGAGAGCCTGACACGGGTATCGAGGATGTCCCGAGGTGGGGTGCACAAAAACTAGGTCTTTGGTTGGCTCCCCCAACCCAAGACAGAGTCTTGAACTCACTATGTAGCTGGGGCTGACTTTTATGACCTAACCTTCCTGGCTCCGTTTCCCAAATGCGGGGTTACAGGCATACAGCGTGCCCAGCATGGCTGCCTGTTTAAAGCCCCAGCTTTGTCCACGTACAGTGCACGGCAGCAGGGACGCAAAGAGAGACAGTCCCTTGAGAACTCTTGTAAGGACTCTGCCGTCTGGTAAGGGAATGGGTGTAAGGCGTGCATTTGCCTTAAGTTCTGACAAATCTGAGGTCGTTCAGGGTTTTGCAGACTGAAAACTTATCTGTGGCCCTTGACTTCTCCAAGTCTTGCTGGTCTCCCGTAAGTAAAAAGACAGAAATGGCAGTGCTGGCAGGGCAGCCTCTGCTGCGTTCTGGACTGCTTTGCTCTGACAGCCTGAGATTTGCTCCAGAACTCACGCCAACACAAAACTCTTTGACTCCTGCCAGGACCTTTATGCCCCTTGAACACTCTGGGATTGCACTGACAGAATGAGTTTCCTCTCAACGAAACCTAGGCCATACCTGCACACTCAAGGTTATCGTGTTAATGGCGTCAGTAACATACTGAACCCAGCCACAGCCTTTACCTCCAGCTCTTAGTGGTCAAGCTTGAGAAAGGCCCCAGGGAATAGAGCCTGTACTTCCCCATAGGACTGAAAAGAGCATCAATTTGAAGTAAACTTGTTGAAGGACTCACAGACACCAGATACACAGGCTAAGTACAAACACCTGGGACTTCAGCTGGTCTCGGAATTGACTCTTCTATCATTCTTTGCTCCCTTTCAAGGCCTTAATGTGTGAGCAAGTTGGATTTGGCATGGCAGTGGACGTCTCACACCTCCTCCTTCGAGGAGAGAAGTCACAGACATACTGCAGTGTCCTCATGGCATCTTTGGCTTTGAACTCACACATGATATACCACACTAGCAAGAATGCAGTCAACTGGAGTGTTCAAGGCTTCAACAAAAACACTCAATATTGTGTTAGTTTGAAATGCAATTTACCCAGAAATAAATCTGATAAGGTAATTTTGATAATGAAAATATGAACAAGATAACATGTACAGGAGAACAATGATGTCCATATTCTTGAAATAAAGACAAAAGTAGTGACATTTGGTTCATTTTCACAAATTGCACATGGGTAAAATCATACAGCACTGCAGACAATTACAGACAAGCAATTTGGTCAAAGGAATTTGCTTCTTTGTTTCATTGTAAATTAAAAAGCTGTATGAACTGCATAGCTTTGATTAAAACCATAAGCACAGTTTCCTTCTTAGTAAAACTCCAAATTTAGGATGCTGGCAAAAGGCAGTGCTGGCAAAGGTTTAATGCACATGGAAATGCTATTCTATTTGGCTTCCAGAAGTAGCCCTAGTCACGCCTATGCACCAATGCATAGTGGTCACTTCCGTTTACCATCAATTATTCTAAATGTCACCGAGGTACTTACAAGATAGCGCTTGCTCCCTTCTAGAGGCTAAGGCAGCAGACGCACGAAGCACCTCAGCTAGACTTCAACTAGCTCAGCGTTCCCGTGCTCCTCAGGCACAAGGATTGCGATCTACATCCCTCGCGCTACACCCACTGGGACTTTCCAGGTTACTTTTGCCTATAGATAGACCGACAGACCAGCGAGGGAGAAAACGATCACCGCTGCATACTGTTCCCTGCAGCAATTTCAAGTCTAAACGCTCACACATCATGGGGTCTTTAAACCCTACCTCCCTGCACACAAATGAACTTCATTCATGGCTGTTCTTCATGGATCATCCCCCTCTAGCTCTTCAGAAAGCATGCTTTGTTCGCGATGTGCCCTACTGCTCTGCTGTTCAGTTTTCAGTCACACTATGTTAACTTTCATTTCAATCATCTCAGCCTTCATGTGATTTGCTTCTTGTGTTTCTCTAGTTTTCACTAAACACAAATGCAAACAAAGGCAAAGACTGAAGCAATCATTTCAAAACACAAGAGCTCACACTAAAGACACACATGAGCGTCAAATATTAAAACACAAGTTTTCTCCTTCTTTATTCTGGGGAGGAGGAGTCCTCCTCCTCATCTTCCTCATCTTCATCGTTGAAAGAACAGGGGGTCTCTCCACGGGACTCTGAGCAGTGAGAGGCCGCACTGCTGGACTGGTGACTGTTTGGGGCAAGCAACTGTCCAGCTGCTAAGGCCACTTCAGCATCCAAACACAACCCTTGGTTTACACTAGCAAGTAAGTTAAAAACATACAGGTTCATTAATGCACTGTAGACATTTCTGATCTTTTTGTACAAGACAAACAGGAAGGAGGTGCCCTGGGGAGATCTGCTATGAACCTGGTCCACCCACTGCAGCAGCAACACAGCGCTGGCTCTCCACAGGAGAGTCGGGGGGCGGGGGGTTGGCTTGCTCTTCCCACCTTGAGAAAAATACATACCTTGACTGGGGCACAGTGGCACCAGTAGTCAGCTCTAAATTTGAAACTGATTGGGTAGAGTTCAAAAGTAGTCCCTGATTTAACCAAGAAGGTCCTGTAGAGATATCTGCAAGAAAAAAACAGAACAACAACAACCAAATATACAGAGAATGTGGGCTCTGGAGTCTGTGGCTGTTCTGCTGCGGTCTGAAGCAAGCATGGATTACATGTCTTAGTGAGAGCCAGACAATTCTAATTCTCCTGCCCTGTGACGAACTTTGGAGTTCTTCATCTTTCTTTGGGGAGGGGGGGAGGTAGCGATGGAACACAAATAAATTCTTGAACAAGAATGGAAAAAAAAAATAGGAAGGCAGACTTCAGGGAGAAAGAATTCAGAGTAAAACCATCCTTTTTCTCCAATACTCTTCTTTCGAGACATTTCCTTAAAGCAGGTGCATGTGTGAAGGGCTGAGTGGGGACGTGTGCTTACAAAAGCCCATGGAGAGAGGTGCTGGAGCCCCGAGCCAGAGCTGTGACCTGCCCCATAGGAGCTGCAGGCAGTCTGTAGTCCTAACAGCTGGGTCTCTCTAGCCTTCTTTATGGAAGACCTGACTGATGGGGCAGCTTTCTGGGTACAGCGGTTGGAATGTGGACTATCTTGGACATTTGTTGTCTGTACCACGGAACACCAGGACTGTGATGTGAACAGTCAAAGCCAGGACTGGGATGACGTGAAAAATCAGAAATATTTTGGGAAAGAAAAACGTACAGCTTACGGATCAGGGAGACGGACACACTCATCACCACTCCCCAGCCTCTCACTGTGCGATTATAGGTGTGTGTGTGCACACGATTGCAGATGTGTCTGAGATGAGGCCTCTCACTGAGACTTAGGCTAGGCGGCAGGTCAGCGAGCTCCAGGGAGCCCACCCTCCTTCTCCCAGGGCTGGAGAGTACCGTACAGCATCACGCATTACCAGCTGAACCGGCCTCCTCCCCTGAGGTCCTGTCTTTTTAAGTGTATGCAGGTGAACTCAATACCACTGTTCATCAATGATCTATGCTTTGTCCTAACTAGTTTTTTTTTTTTTTCCTGGTGTCATTTGCTTTACAATTCCAAACAGTCCTTGTTTTAAAAGGCCATGCTTTTGGCACACACCTGTAATCCCAGCAATCGGGGAGGCAGAGCAGGCAGATCTGAGTTTGAGGCCAGCCTGGTCTACAAAGCAAGACCGGACAGCCAAAGCTACAAAACAAAACAAAACAAAACAAACAAAAAACCCAAAAACCAAAAAGCCCATGCTTTTAATGAAATTTCTATAATGTGTTCATTTTTAAATTTACATGTATAAGTGTTTTTTTAAATTTTTGGTTTTTCCCTCACAATTTATTCATTATATATCCCGATTGAAGCCCCCACCCTCAACTCCCCCAGCGTACGAGTGTTTTGCTTGCATGTGTCCAGTTTCATGCCTGGTACCCCCTGAGGCCAAAAGAAGGCATTAGAGTCTCTGGAACGCAAGTTACGCTGTACGGGTGATAGGACCTGAACCTGGGTCCTCTGGAAGGGCACTGCACATTCTGGAGTCAGGGTTTCTCTGTGTAGCCTTGGCTGTCCTGGACTTGTCTGTACACCAGGCCGGCCTCAAACTCACAGAGATCCGCCTGCCTCTTCCTCCCCAAGTGCTTTGTGGGCAGGCAGCACCACACCCAGCTAGCACTGCACACCTCAACACTGGGCCCTGTCTCCAGGTCTGTGATCACAGTTTTAATAAAGGGAAGACAGTATGAGGTGCTTCAGATCACAGGGAACCAGAAGGGCATGTCCCGGCCATCTCCTTTTTCCTTCCATATGTCGTGCTTCTCCCATCACAACAGCTCAGTTCTTAACTGTACTGTTTGTTACCTGTGTGGCCCTCCCTGGACAGAATGTTAGAGAAAACTGGACCTGAATGTCTAGGGACCTCAGAATTGCTGAATGACTGCACAAAGTCTCTTTCAACAGTGGCTTTTATGGACAGTGAAAGCTTTAGAAACACTTTCCTAAAAAAAAGATCTCGCGGGGCTGGGGAGATGGCTCAGTGGTTAAGAACACTGTCTGCTCTACCAAGGGACCCGGGTTCAACTCCGAGCACCCACATGGCAGCTCACAACTGTCCGCAAACAGTTCCAGGTGGTATGACACCCTCACACCAATGCACATAAAATAAAATTAAATAAGTTATTAAAAAAAAAAATCTCGCATTGCAGGGCATGGTGGCACACACCTTTAATCCCAGCAAGTTTTTGGTGGAGGCAGGCATAGCTCGGAGTTTGAGGCCAGCCTGGTCTACAGAGCTAGTTCCAAGACAGCCAGGGAGACACAGAGAAACCCTGTCTCAAAAAAGACAAAAGAAAAGAAAAAGAATCTTGTAAGACAAAGCCCAATACATACTCAGAAAATATACTTTGCTCAAATAAGCTTTCATCGCACTTTTAATTTACACTTATTTATTTTATTATTTTCACTTCTGTGTATGTGTGGCTGTGCACATGCCACACACGAGTGTGGAAATCAGAGGACAACTTTAAGCGGCTGGTTTTCTCCTTCCCACATGTAGGTACTGGGGAGCAAACTCAGGTCAACAGGCTTGACAGCAAACATTCTACCCACCAAACCACTTTGCCAGCCCCTGAGCTCTCGTGTGTGTGTGTGTGTATGTGTGTGTGTGTGTGTGTGTGTGTGAGTGATCTGTGTGAGCGTGGGTCAGTGGGCTTTTGGCAGTTGGTTGTCGCCCTCTGGCTTGGTGGGGCTGGGTCTCGTTTCTGTTGCTATGCCGCGTACTCCCAGGCTAGTTGTTCCGAAGCTGGCTAGTTCTCCGGTCTTTGTTTCCTCAACTCCCTGCGGGAGTTCTGAGATAAAAGACACATACTACCACATACAGCTTTCCGTGTGAGTTTCGAGAATGAAACTTGGGTTTGTGCGGCTAGTGCTCGTTTCCACTGAGCCATCTACCCATCCCCTGTTTTGTACTATTTTTGTAATCACTGTGCTAAAAATACAAAGCCATGTGTATAAAGGTTAGAATTCTGTCTAGCCAATTGAGTGATGCCCCATGTAGGAATGAGGAACCTAAAAGATTACATTGGTTTTAAACTGGCCTTGTGAGCCTTTTTCTTTACAGGCTAAGGCAGCTGCCGGGGGGGGGGGGGGGGGGAAGGCCTTCAATTCTAAGAAGAATAGCAGACTGTGAATGCATTTAATAAGAAGAAGTCTGAACAAGAAGATGAAATTAAAGCTGGAATCCTGTGCTGACTATGAATTAGTATACAGAACTGTGGAAACCTTCTGCTGGGTCACAGCTATTCAGTTGTGAACATTTCAGATCAATTTAGAAAGCCCATGTTTCTTTCACATTATTCCAGGCTCTGCACAGTGGTTCTCACACTCCTGTCGAGAGCCATTCCCTCCCTCCGTTTCCATACTAATGCCACATGTCCCTTTGAACTGACAAGAAAATCTGTAGCCCACTCTGCAGATGAGGTCATGAGGAGAGCAAACCACAGAGCCTGCTAATCACCCTGAGCCTTTCCACTGGGAATCAGTGAAAATAGTTCTGTGATTTATTGAGTGAGCCCTTTCATTCAGACACTGCTGAATGAAATGACTTCCAGTCCGACGAGGCTACTAATGAAATAGCAAGATCTGTGCCAGAGAACATGGAGCAAAGGGAACAGGGACCGGTGCAAAAATGGGACAGATGAACTGAGGTTCAAGAGGGCCCAGCGGTCACACATGCAGAAGGGAGATGGTACTGACTTACTCCATTGAGACAAAACAGAAATCTTAGCCAACAAACTTGTGACCAAGCAGATAAAACAAACTACCATTTACTGACATTCGGTTTTATACACCTTACCACTAGTATTAAAACTGTTAGAGAGATGTACAGTGGTGTCCACCTCTGCAGGCCCAGACAAGGGGTCACTTGAGCCCAGGAGTTTAACTATAGCCTAGACAAGTGACAGCCCATCTTGGAAAGAATAGCAACAACAACCCAAACAAGTGATGTGAAATTCTAGATGAAATCTAAGCCAAAAACCTTTAAATGTTCACATAAACATTGCAGAATATATAATATTGTTGAATTAGGAAAACTACACTATTTCCAAATTTGTAGAAAACAAATGAATTATAGAGCCCATAAATTTTTCTTTTTAATAACTATACCTAGTATATTCTTTCAATTAATAAGAAAAAGGAAATTATGTCTTGTTCTTAAAATATATATGTTGCCAATAACTATATTAAAAGATGCAACATTCTAAATCAGTAGAAAAATTAAATAAAATCACTGTGAATTACTACTTTACATCCAGAGTGTGAAATTAGAAAGATGGACAGGGATGAAAGTAACTTGATGGTGGAGTATATATTTATCATGAACAAACTAATGTATTCAATCACTATTAACAAAAATTGAGATGGGGAAGGTATTGAGAAGGATGTGAAAAAAAAATCAGAAGCCTCATACATTACTTAGCAAGATTCTAAAATGGTATAGTCATTTTAAAAACCATTTGGCCTTTTATAAAAAAATCCAACAGTTCTACTCCAACAAAACTGAAGTAATGTTTATAAAAAACAAAATACTTACAAAACAATGCTTAAAAGTAGCATCATTCAAAATAACCCAAAAGCCTAAACAACCTATATGCGTACCAAATAATGAATGAATGAAAATGTGGTACATCCATAAAATGGAATATTTTCCAATAAAAAGTAATGGGTATAATCAAGTTGAACCTCCCTAATCCAAAAATTCCAAATCTGAAATATTCTAAAATCTAAAATTTTCTAAGCACCGACATAATGCCAAAAAGTATGAAATTCCACACTTGATTTCATGCCTAAACACAGGCACATTAAAATTCCCCATAAAGAATGGGGTACAATTGCATGATTCATAAAGACATTTCATTTTTAGTTTTTGGTTTCCATGTCTCAAATAACTTTATTAGGTAAATTTAAAAATGTCAAGATACAAACAACAAAACAAAACAAAAAAAGAACGGAACACCCAAATCTGAACCACTTCTGATCCTAAGCAGATGCTCACCTAATACAAAGGTATGAAATGGACTGGGTGACTGAGTAAATGAAGCAAACCACGCAAAGTGGAAGAAGCCACTACAAAGGCCACATGATGCTCAATTCCATCTATATGCAATGTCTATTACTGGCAAATCTATAGTGACAAGACAAAACAACAACAACAACAAAACCAGATTTGACTGCCAGTTGCCGGGGGGTGGGGTGGGACAATTGGATGTGGGAATGCTAATGGCATGGGTTTCTTTTCATGGTTATAAAAATGTCCAGGAGCTGGACATAGAGATTAAAGGACATACAAACCTTTAATCTCAGCACTGGGAAGCAGAGGTGGGTGGATCTGTGAGTTCGAGACCAAGCTGGTCTCTATTGTTAGTTTGAGACCAGCCAGAGTTGCACAGAGATTTCATCTCAAAACAATTAAATAAATAGAAAGAAAAAAAGAAAGAGAAAAAGGTGTCCAGCAATTAAACAGCGGTGACGGCTGAATACTTTTGTGAACATGGGAAAGGAGCACTGAATTACATACTTTTACAAATGGGTGTTTACGGGGCTGGAGAGACGCCTCAGGGTTTACAAATATTGGTCGTTCTTCCAGAACACACATGGTGGTTCACAATTGTCTGTAGCTGCAGTCCTAAGTGATTCTGACACTCTGCTCTGGCTTGCTTGGGCATGAGATACACATGTAGCACAGACATATATACATGTAGACAAAACACCCATCCGCATACACAGATGTTTCATTTTATGAGAGTGAATTCTTAATTCAAAAGCTGACTGGGAAAGCAGAATACTTTAATTTTTCCAAAGAAATGTAGAGCTAGTAAAATCAAATTGAAAAATTTCGGCATCATCTGGGAAAGCTAAAGACCCACCAATGCAAATCCAGCAATTTCAATCTGTATGTTTGCACACAGTAGTAGGACACAATCACAGAATGTTCAAAGTAGCACTGTAATCTTAATATCAACCGGAAGAATCAAAACTAACACCCTAAAAGTTTATCACCACTAAGATAATCTATTCATGCAACAAATGTAATGTAGGAGTAAAATGGTATACATTTCAGCTATATTAATCACACAAAAGAATCTGAGAGACATAATGTTAAGTTAAAATCAAATCACTAAAGAAAACACCACTCCAGGGAGATGGCAAAACTCCTGTCTGTAATCCTTGCATTAGGGAAACTGAGACAGGATACTCTAAGTTAAAGTCCAGCCTGGGCTACAAAGTGAGTTCCAGGACAGCCTGGGCTACAGTGAGACAACCAGAAAGACGTAATTTTATTTATCAATGTCAGAAAACAGCTTGTCATACTTGTTTTTGCCTCAAAAAATAAAAAATAAAAAAGCAAATGTAGCTGGGCATAGAGGCACATGCCTGTAACCCTAGCACTCTGGGAGGCAGAGACAGGTGGATCTCTGAGTTCGAGGCCAGCCTGGTCTACAGAGTGAGTCCAGGACAGTCAAAGCTACACAGAGAAACCCTGTCTCAAAAAAAAAAAAAAAAAACAAAATAAAACAGAAAACCAAACAAACAAAAAAGCAAATGAATAATAAATAAATTTTAAGCCAGAGTGTGATATATACCTATAATCCTTGGGAACCTGAGGTGAAAAAGTCAAGATTAGAGACTAAACTAAGCTAAAATATCACAATATTGTCTGCAAGAAGAAGTCCAAGGAGCAGGTTGCATGTAAGGTGCAGAATGGCGCAGACAGGATGGTGGACTTGCAAGGACTTTAACAATAGCATGGTTTTGCTGCCTTCATGGACTCTCTTCTCTCTGTAACTCTAAGCCCAAAATAAGCTTTTGTAAGTTGCCTTTGGTCATGGTGTTTTGTTTTGGTTTTTTTTTTCAGCAACAGACATTGAAGAACTGTCTGCTCTCTTAATTTAGTTCTGCTTAATAGATACATACAGTATAGAGTGAAGTGAGTTATGTATTTTTTGTTTTGTTTTTGTTTCTGTTTTGACAAACTATTCTAAGCTCTCTTAGGAGAGAATTACAAACAAAAACAAAAGCCAAACTTCCACCAAGCTTTTCACTAAAATCTTTACACGACTACTTAAACTCTCAGAATTAGAGGAAAAACATCACTGTAGACCTAAACTTAGTGTTGAGTTGGCCAATTTTTTTTCTGTACTACATACTGTACAGACATAAATTTATAATCCTCTAAAAATCATTCATTTTTGGGAAAAAAGGTCACAAACTTATTAAATAAAGTACTAAAGAATGCCACTTGGTGAAGCTAGAAGACTCTAAACTGCAGCACTCTGTGAGAGGGTTTGACATGTCAGTTTGACATTCAATCAGGGGTGTGTTAGTGAAGCCAGCATACCTGTGATATAGCCTTCTAAAGCTTTCGGAACCAGTGATTTTGCAATTTTCAGGTCCTCTAGAGAGCATTTGCCTGACTCTAGACCAAAGGACATTCCCATCCGTTTCAGTACCTCTATGTCATCGTGGATCTCAAAGGTGTTATCAAAATTAAAAAGGTACTCAAACCTGCAAAATAAAGCACAGAAAGAAGGGGCAAGTGAGATAGCTCAGACACCAAGCCTGATAACTTAAGTCCAATTCCCTAGATCTCATGTACACACACACACACACACACACACACACACACACACACACACACGCATGTCATCCTGAAATACATAAATTCAACTATCTTGTTTTTAAAAAATAAAGCAGGAATGGGGGTTTTGGTGCTATAGAGAATCTCTAAAAGGTTTTATATCCTGTGCTTTGTTTAATTTACTTATTGTCATGCTAGGGAGGAACCCAAGACCTTGAGAATGCTTGACAAAAGCATTCTAAACTATACCCCAGGCTTTTCTGCACTTTAAAGAATGGAACAAGGGCTTATGCTCAGCCAACAACAGAGGGCTTGGTCTTTCCCAGGAAAAGCACTTGCGGCCTTTCCGGGCTGGTAGCCAGAAGTTTACACACTTCAGCTTCAGTGATGTCACAGACAGGAGAAAGAGATTCTTTCCTAAACCCAGCACTTTCCAAGATTGTCTACAGTTTGTCATAGAAAAAGGCCTTTCTAACTTGGTATGATCTATAGCAGACTGGCAGATTAACCTTGAGGAAATTTATTTTCCTGAGTCAACGCTACCTACAGCATCCTTCTATCAATCATAAAGACCTCTCCTTTGTTTTGAGAGGAGCTGTGCTACACTGCAGTTTGATCTTGAACTCCTGGACTCAAGGGAACCTTTTAGGTAGGTGGGACTTCAGGTACTTGAACTAAACACACTTGACTTAAATGGAAGACATTTAAAAATAGATTTATTTATGGAGTTTATATACAAAAGTACTCTGTCTTCATGAACAGAAGAGGGTATCAGATCCCACTACAGATGGTTGTGAGCCACTCTGTGGGAATTGAACTTGGGATCTCTGGAAGAGCAGCCAGTACTCTTAACTGCTGAGCCATCTCTGCAGACCCAAATGGAAGGACAATTTTAACAAACCAAACCCAGCCAAATCCTGTCTTGTGGAGCTAAAGAATAAAATATCTTAAGCAATTGTCACAGACCTGAGAATGGTGGTTCGTGCCTCTAATACCATCACTTGGAAGCTAAGGCAGGGTGATGCCTGTGAATTCATTCATTCATTCATTTTTGGTTTTTCAAGAGAGGGTTTCTCTGTGTAGCCCTGGCTGTCCTGGACTCACTTTGTAGACCAGGCTGGCCTCAAACTCACAGCGATCCACCTGCCTCTGCCTCCCTGAGTGCTGGGATTACAGGCGTGCACCACATTACAGAGTTGATTCCTGTGAGTTTAAAGCTATCTCAGTTCTAACACAACCTAGTCTACATTGTGAGAATCTGTCACAAACAAAAACAAACAACAAAAAAGCACCACATATAGAGTACACAGCACCTATCAGACTGTTCTTGAAGAGCAGTCAGTTTAGATGTCTTGCTATACAGCACAACAATCAAGAAGCAAAGATGGTGGTTAGCAAGATGTGGCCCAAGCTTGATCCTTAGGAAATAATCTGTGGAAGGACAGAGCTGACTCCCTGTGGGCCAGGCCTTGAGGCCTCATTTACAGGGCCTAGTTCTGTAGAGACAGAACTGTTCTAGTGCAGGCTCTGATTAGTGGGTTTTACCTTGTTATGGAATTCTCTAGTGAAATCATGTGAGGTTGAAACTTACATGACATTTTACATCAGGGCAAACTTACAACTCCAAGCAAGATGCCGAAGTATACGAGTCTGAATAAAGTACATTAACAAGCTTGAAAGTAAAGTAAAATGGGTCCTTGCCAGAGGGATGAGTTCAGGCATCTCTTACACGCAGGTGGCTTTGTAAACTTAATTTCGCTGTGGGAAAGCCTCCTGGCTAATTAAGGGGAAGATTGCCTCACCAAAGTAACTGACAGACAAGATTACTGACCTACCTCAAAAGACAAGCGTGCACAAGCTGCTCTATGAAGGGGTGCCAGGCAAGGCATGAGTCAGTGGCCACCCAAGGTATAGAACCAAACTAGATCTCAGCCTCGGTGAACAGTGTCCAAAATCTGCTACGGTAAATGGTTTCCAATTTTCTTGAAACTCTCTCTTTTTAAATAATTTATTATTAATTATCATTATGCTTATTTTTAAAGATGGGTCTCTTTTATGCAGTTCTCCTGGCTGGCCAATGCTGGCCAACTCATAGTGATGTTTCCTCACCTCCAGTGAACTGGGCTAGCGGATTATGTGCTGTTTGCTCAGCCACTGAAGCCCTCTCAGCTAAGAAGAGAATTTTACAGTCCCTCATGAAAGAAGAGACTACCTTCAGAGAGTAATCACAGTTGGCGTGTCATAGTGTGACATTTGTAGTTCACCTCTGAAGATGTGAACCCTCTGAAGACTTCTCGGTGTTATGATGTTAACAGTCCTCTTAGACACAGATTTCTGTGGAGAGTCATTATTGAGTATATATGAGGAATTATTCTGACATGTAACATTTTACTGGGTTAGATATTGTATGAGTTTAGCTACAGCTTTTATAAACTGGCAAACTAAATACTTGATTTTAATTTTTTTGTTTTTTATTTCGTACACATCATTTTAGTGTGTGTGCCACGGAACATGTGTGGAGGTCAATGAAGAACTTTTAGAGTTGGCTGTCTCCTCCCACCATGTGGGTTTTGAGATTAGACTCAGGTTTGGCAACAAGCACCTTTATCTACTGAGCCATCTTGCTGGCCCTAATTTTTATTTTTGTGGAGGAAAAAAATGAGCTCTCAAAGAGGCTGAGGACTTTAAAGAATGTAAACTGCTGCTCCCTCAGAAGAGCAGCTAGAACTTGTAAAACGCTGCAATGCTCAGGCTGTTTAGGAGCCTTCTCTCACTCACCCTCACAAGGCTGGGAAGTAGGAGTGCTGGAGCCCTCCAAGTGTGCCTGTGTAAACAGAGCTCTATGGGGCAGGCGGGCGGAGGGGCCCAGTCCACAGCTGAAGCCTGTCTCGCCCTCTGTGCACCGACAGCTTCCTCAAGAAGGAAGGGCAACACACAAACACAACACACACTTTGGAAAAAGTGCTACTCTTACTTGGTAAAGTGAATGGTGTCAATTATTTAGATCGTTAAAAATATTTTTAAAAGATTTACTAACTCAGGTGTTCACATGTGAGGAGGCCAGATGAGGGCATTGGGTGTCCTCCTCTTTCAGTCTCCAACTTGCTTTTCTGAGACAGGTTCTCTCAATGAACCTGAGGCTTGCTGTTTGGGCTAGGCTGCTTGGCCAGCAATCCCCGGCACCCCCGTCTCTTTTGTCATTACCTTCCCCAGCCCTGCGCCACAGCTCAGGTTACAGCCAAATAGTTACACCTGGCCTTTCTATGGGTTCGGGGGATCCAAACTCAGGACCCAGCGTGTCCAGCAAACTCTTTAGTCACTGTGTTGTCTCCCCAGTCTTACACTAAGACTTTACTGTTCACTTACTGATTAATAAATGAAAGCAGTGGGTGTGATAGAACACTTTTTAATCTCAGCATGTGTGAGGTGGTGGAAGGAAGATGAAGTCAATGAGATCCCTTCTTTATTTTTTTGTTTTGTTTTCCAGGACAGGGTTTCTCTATGTAGCCCTGGCTGTCACGGAACTCACATTGTAGGCCAGGCTGGCCTTGAACTCACAGAGCTCTGCCTGACAAGTGCTGGCATTCAAGTGTGTGCCACCACTGCTGGGTGAGACCCCTTAAATATAAAATAAAACAAAATAAAACAAACAAACAAAAAGCAAGTAGCAAATAGAACTTACGTAAGTACAATAGAAATAAAATGAAACAATTGCCAAACACTGGTCTGATATATTCTCACCATAAGTCACCAGTGACTCACCAATGAACTGACTTCCCCCCGGGCCCTGAGTGATGGATGGTCTGTCTTACTGCACTTACCACACAAGGGTCACACATGCCAGACTGGACCCAGGTACCACCATCTGTATGCCACAGGCATGCCATGGGGAAAGGGGCTATGAAGGATAAGTAACAGCACACACGCCTGAGGACGCATTTCACAAACCCCACGGAAGGCAGTCTTGAAGGGCTGCAGATAGTGGAGTGTACCATCTTTACCTGGGAGAACATTAACAGAATGCCAGCCCTGTGCCCCGCCCCTGGGTCCCCACTCACTTGTCACTGGAGATGCTGCAATCTATGACTGTTTTTCTGCTTGTATTAATGATTATAAATGGCAGCTGAATGGTGGAATTCAGAGCTGGAGGGCCCTGGTTTTGTTGTTCATTTTGTCGATTTCTCTGTACCAGGTTTTTAAAAGCAATTTGCTGTAATGTTCAATAAACAAAAGGTGGTCATTTGATATGAAAAAGTGACTTGGAATTTAAATGAATTAATGTAATACATTTTAAGTATCTATTTCAAAGTTAGAGTATTTAAACAGGTAGCCGATCTGTACTAGTGAATTTTAAAAGGATTAAACATGATAAAAAATTAAAATGATTAAGTTCAATAAACACATTTCAAGGGTAAAACACAATACTTTTTTTTTTTTGGTTTTTCAAGACAGGGTTTTTCTGTGTAACAGCTCTGGCTTACTTGGAACTCGCTGTGTAGACCAGGCTGGCCTCAAACTCACAGAGATCCACTTGCCTCTGCCTCCCAAGTGCTGGGATTAAAGGCATGAGCCACCAGGCCAGCAAAACACATACATTTCAATGATGTCTCACTAAGGTAAATATTGTGGCCTCTGGTTTCCATCTTCTAGAGAAACAGGCTCTCAGAACTATGGTAGAGCAGAAAGGCTACAGTTCTCTTCAAAGTGATCCCATGTGAGCTTTGACTCACTCCCTCTCACACAGTATCCTGAGCTTAGGATACCTAGCCCAGAAATATACACAATTTCTTTAAACTAGAGAATTCTTTCTCAAGATGACATTTGGGACACTCACAAAAGAAAACAGATGGACGGAAGCAGCATTGTTCTAGTTGGCTTCAAGACAGTAGGTTCCCAGCCCTTGCCAACTTGCCTTGCCCAAAATTCCTGCCACAATGGCTTCTAAGGTTTGCATAGTTTAGAGTACATTTGGAATCCAGTCCAAGCTTCCCCAACCTGATTATTTTCCTGAGTAGAAAACTGAGGCTTAATATAAAGTATACAACATATTGAACTTTATCACTGTTCATTATAATTATTACTCAAAAGATAAAGAAAGTGACTTTATTATTAATTAGGTAAGACAGCCTAATTAAAAAAAAAAAAATCAGGCTGCCTCTCTTTCAAAACTCCCAAACTCAACTTACTTAAAAAAAATCTTAGTAATATATGTTCAAAATTGTTTATTTTCAGGCTTGAGTCCTTAACTAAAGTTTGGTTTACAAGAAATGGGTACTATCTTCCTAGAAAATAAACACTGTCTCTTAAAATTCATTTTTCAGAAGGAACACCAATTTATTCCAGTATTAACTATCTAATCACCAGTATCAACCACTATCAAAACTACCACTATCATATGATGATCAAACTTAAGTTACTGCTCTCTGTAATTTCTGTTCCTAAAAACCAAGAGTAGATTATATTTCAATTCATTTTACATACAGAGAAAAATGTCCTGAAATTAGAAGTGAAAAAAAGAATGAGGTGGTCAAACACATCCTATAACTTCTCTTCCCTTCTTCTAGAACATAGCTTTAATTGACTGACCACCTGACTTACAGACGTCCAGGCAGATCTTTAACTCCTGATCCCTGTGCCTCTCCCTCCCAAGTGCTGGGAGGACAGACTTGCCATCGTTCTGTGAAAATACAGCTTCTTCCATTGTGGGCTGAGATTCCAGATGAGGTCATGTGAATGAATGTGTGAGTTACAAAAAACAAAAAACTGGCAACTGTAAAAGGTTTCTGAATCATAATGACAAAAATGAATTCAAATTCTACCACAGCATGAACCTGTGGTGTTTCAGACAGCACTCGCCTGTGTCGTAGCGTGTAATTTTACTGAAGCTGAGGTCACAACACAAACACTGCGCTGTTTAGGCCTCACAGCATGCAACAATGCCTGAAGCACCAGTTAAGACAACTGTGTAAGATCTGCAATGCTTTCACTCAGAGTTTTCTACTTTTGTAGAAAATATAATCAGTTGTGGAAAACAAAGACTATCATTTCTCAGCATGTAAACATAAAATGTTTATTTTAGATTAAATTGGGTTAGAATGCTTGATTTTAAAAACTGTTGCTCGAGCCGGACATGGCGGTGCACAGCTTAAATCCCAGCACTTGGGAGGCAGAGACAGGCAGAGTTCTGTGAATTTGTGGCCAGCCTGGTCTACATAAGTTAAGTTCCAGGACAGCCACAGGCTATATAGAGAAAACATGTCCCCAGAAGATAGCAACAAAGTTTCTTGAGATTAAGAAATCATTAAATTAATTTTGACTTGAGATTAGAGAAGAATTAAACAAATTTTGTACTATCCTAAACCTATTTCTACCATCTTGTATGACATACTTACACAAAGTGACATTCTCTGAAAATTATAAAATCAAAATGATAATCACTTTGAAAGACATTGATGACACTTTCTGACCTGCAGTATCAAAGATTTTTGGCCAAACTTTAACTCTTAAAAAATTAAATTTATTATTATCTTTGTATGAGAAGGTCATAAAGGCAACTTTGGGAATGTGGTTCTCTCCTTCTGCCTTATGTGGCATTCTGGGGACTGAATTCAGATTTACATTCAAAGTGACTTAACCTACTAGCCATCATGCTGGCCTCAAATATGTAAAAAAAATAAATAAATAAAGAACAACATTCATATGCAAGCAAATTTGCCTTGTCTTTACTAAACAGTAAAATTATTTTCTAACAAGAATTACTCTGAAATAAATTTCTTTATGGTTTACTATCAACAAGTGTTTGATTTGTATACCTATATACTCATGTCATATTCAGATTCCTCAGACTAGAATGGGCACTAAGGGCAAAGACCTGAACTAGACCACATTTCCCTGGGAGCTGTTCAGACAGTACCCAACTTTGTGGCCCTCATGCTGTCCTTAGGAGAGCCTCAATCTCTGATGAAACATAAACAGTGATAAGGAAGAATCCTTATATACTTAAAACTCACTGTTTAATAGCATCAAATTTGTCCTAGATGATGAAAGCACTTGAAACATACTGTTATTTCAGTCTTGTTTTTGCAGTGCTGGAGAGTGAAGCAAAAGCCTCTAGGCAAGAACTCTATCACTGAGTTACATTCCTAACCTAATATTGTTATTTTAATAGTAAAAATAAAATTACCTCCCACGTACTGTGCACTGACTTCCTTATTTGTTGCCCTTTTATTGACTCCCTTTGGCTTTTTGTTCTTTTCAGACTCAATTTCATTTGTTCCAGAGGTTGAACAGCTTTAAATGTGTTCCTTAGTGAAAAGGTTTAAAGGCAGGAAAGGATGATTATGCACATAAAAGGAATGAGTTATATATAGGTATAAGGTAGTCAAGTTACTTATCTCAACTGTCAGCCTGATGAGACTCCCCTGGAAGATGGACTTCTGGACATGCCTCTGTGGGACTGTCTGGATAATATTGAGTGAGGTCATGTTCTAGCTACTTTCTGTTGCTGTGATAAAATACTCTGACCAAAGACAACTTGGCGAAGGAAAGGGTTGCTTTCCTTACTATCGCAGGTGAACTCAACAGGAACTCTGAAGCAGAAACTTGTTGGCTTGCTTACAGGCCCATATTTAGCTTTCTGATACAGCCCCAGACCACTGGCCCAGGGAATGGCGGCTTCCACGGTGGCCTGGCCTCTCCTACGTTAGTTAACAATCAAGATAACCCTAACAGACACGCCATCTGATCTGGGCGATCCTCCAACGGAGACTCCCTTCTCAGAAGGCTCTAGGCAGTGGTAAGTTGATAACTAACCCTGACTAGCGTGTGTGAGAAAAGTAACTAACACACAGAGATAAAGGGTAGTGGTGGTGTGTAGGTAGTAGTTAATCTGGGTCGTGACAACAATGAGTTGTGACATACTAAGAAAAATCAAACTAGCTTAGCCATAACAATGTACAGGGACAACCCGAATAATTTATTTTCTATGACTACTTTGTAAGTCTCATTTGATAAAAGGAATAAAAATGAAACATTAAGAGGAATTGAGTTGTATGTCTACAGAAAACTTGCAGTTACTGTTTTTAATAATAATTTGAGTTTCATTTATAGTCTAGAGATACCTAATGCTATAAATGCTACCAGGCTGCCCTCAGGTTAAGATCTTCTATAAATGTTTGGCTTGAGAGAAAGTAGAAGAAAAAAATTAGGATTTAAAAATTGTTGACATGTTTCTGGTATAAACAGGGAAAATAAAAACCCAGCTCTATTCTTTGTGTTAAGCACTTAAAACATTTTGAAAACCCTGTTTTATTCTATTTTATTACTGATTCAGACAGGGTTTCATGGCCTTGAACCTGCTATGTATATGAATATGACTGTGAACTTCTGATTTTCCTGCTTCTGGTTTCCAGATGCTGGGATTATAGGGATGTACTACTAAACCTGGTTTATGAAATGCTGGAGACAGAACCGAGAGCTTTGTGTATGGCAAAAGCTAAGCAAGCACTCTATTAATTATAACCCAGGCTGACAGTCCCATTTTTGAGGGTATTCCCATCCAGTACCACTCAGAGAAAATTACAGCCATGTTCTTAAAAGTGATATCCCTTGCCGATGTCCACTGGCTGCACTGCGTACTTTTCTACCCTGATGACCCTTGGGACTACAGCCATTTTCCTCCCAATTAGATAACCCTTGCCCTATCAGGAATGGCTTTAGGCCACTCCTCATTGAGGATCCACCCTCTCTGTGACTGATACTCTTCTTGCAAGGAGTGTTTTCAGGGATGGTGGCATCAACAAGATGGAACTTGGGACAAAAAGGTGATTATGGCCCTACATCATTAGACAGGACTAAGTGTCCTCTGTGAACAGGCTGGAGATGCCCCTCCAGGTGGAAGGGAATTCAGATAGGGAAAGAGAAACTACAAGCCAAGACTTCTCGATCTTTTCTCCTTCTTCACGTTGCAAAAGGATAAAAGGGCTCTAAGATTCCTCTGCAAGTCACTACCTGACCCCCTTCGCAATGGGCAGAATTAAGAATTAGACTCTCAGATTCTTAGAAAAATCTGATTTTGTTGGAAAGCATGGTTCCCATAACTCTGGGTGCTGATGAAAAAAAAAAAAAAAAAAAAAAAAAGCTGCCATAAGCAGGGTATGGTGGTGCACACCTTTAATCCCAGCGCTCCGAAGGCAGAGGCATGTGAACCTCTGCATTTGAGGCCTGCCTGGTCTACAAGGTGAGTTCCAGCACTGCCAGGGATATGTAGAGAGAACTTGTCTTAAAGAAAAGGAAAAGAAAAAAAGATAGATGCCTCAGGGGGGATCCTCAATTATGCTATCCTTCAACCGACTCAATTCTGCAAGAGAGGGAAAATGATCTAACAATCCCTATATATTCAACTTTCTTTTATCATCAAGACCACATGACCACAATTTTCAGGTCAATCCTGCTCTTTTGACAGACTTTCTGGTTTGGCTCTGCACCTCCGACATCAAGAGACTCACTACTAGTCCTGTAACCCCGTAATCTGGCTGCCCTGTTTTCCCCCACACTCCACCCATCATACCCTAGAGGAACTAAAGTTGTTCAGCCTGAGGCTTCCTGACTGCCTTGAGGCCTCTGGCAGAGTTCCCTTGCAGAAAATGAGGGGAGAATTTAGACCTACCTCTGTTTATAGAGCCTTCTTGTTAGCAGAGCTTAAAGATATCAAAAGGGGCAGCATGGTCTACAAAGCAAGTCCAGGACAGCCACCAAGGCTACATAATGAAACCTTGTCTTGAAAAACCAAAGGGGGGCGGGAAAGAAGATATCAAGGGGAATTAGGTAGTTTTACTGGGAACACTGACCAGTATATACAGATCTCCCAGCAGCTAAAAGCCTTTACAGCATTGCCTGAAGAGATTTCATGTTCATTTTAGACCTTGACCTTAGAAAAAGAAAGGTAAAAGAATGGGCAATAGCGGTTGGTAATGACTACCATATGGCCCAGAGCCAAGACGCAAAGGCCTAAGTTCCCACAGGAGTCCAGGTAGCCCCTCTGAGTGACCCACTCATGTTTTAGAGGACTTAAGGAAAGCAGGGATCAAATACCTCAGCTGCTCTCAGCCCACATCATTTGCCAGAGAGAACGTGAACCTATTACTTTTCTCCAGACAGAAAAGGGAACTATTGTGAAAATATACTAATGTAACCCCCAAGTCCATGGAGGATGAGGCACTCCTAAAAGACAAATTCTTCACCCATCAGCCCCAGATATTCACAGGAAATTCCCAACACTGGTGGCTAAGCCAAGTGAGAGCTTGTCTGGACCACTACCCCAGTATATTGCAAACAACCTGGAAAGGGACAGATAAAGGACAAATGACATAATAACCTACTGGCTGTTATGAAAGCTTCCCAAGGAAGGGCCATATTGAAGTGTCCTCAGTCCCAGAAAAGAGCCACTTTCAGAGATGAATTGGGCCCACTTCTGAGATGTATTACAGAGTCTCCTGCCTGTCAATGGAGAGACCGTCTTTTCCAAAACTCATTCCTCATTTTGCTTCCCTTTTGGAGCAGAAATATTTTCTCAGCACAAAGCGGGACTCATCCTGCCTCTGAGAGGGAACCTATGTCTGCCTCTGGTGGAAGACAGTACAGACTGGATGGGGGGACTACGTCAGGCCACAACTGCCTCAACAGTTGGGATACCAGTTAAGATCCCACCAAAGGGACAAAACAACAAAAACCAAATTCCTTGACAGTCCAACTCCTGGGTAAGGGTGAGCACCCAAAGGGAACTGCCACATTCAAGGTGGGAACCTGGGAGTTAGGTAGGGGGTTAAATGTGACAGCTGGACCACCTAAAAGGCTGAGCATTTGAGACAATGAGCTACCATGTGAGGGGCTGTAGTATTCTTCCAGATACCGCCTGATGGCACTACAACTACAAAACACCCTGGGTGTTAGAAGCAAATAAGCAGAGAAACGCCCTATGGGCGAGGAAATAGTGAAAAATATGCCAGATCTTTACCTGAAGGAGAAGTTCTTGTAGTTGGGCCCGTTTCTGCTTTATCCGTTCTATCCGTCTCTGCTTCTCTATCTTTAAAACATAAGTTCAAACAAACAAACAAACAAATCTTTAAATCATTTTTTAAAAGATTTATTTTTATTTTAGCAGTGTTTTACTTCCATGTTTGTCTGTGCACCACACGTGTGCCTGGTGTTTGGTTTCTTTGGAGGCCAGAAGAGGACATTTGGTTCCCCTGGAGTTACAGATGGCTCTGAGCTATGTGGGTATCAGGAACTGAACCCTGGTTCTCTGCAAGAGCAGCAAGTGCTCTTGGTTGTTGAGCTACCTCTCCAGCCCCCAAAGAAATCGTTAAAATAAAGTTATACTTTCATCCTTTGTTGTTGGATTTTGAGATAGGGTTTCCTCATGTAGCTCACTCATGCTAGGCTCAAACCCAAGATTCTCTTGCCTATCTCCCAAGTGCTGGGCATACAAGTATGTGACATCTTATCTAGCTTGCTTTCTTTTCTGACACACCAAGTGAAGCATCTTTCTTGTCTGCTCCAACAATATCCTGTTTGTTCCCTACGTACTCTGGTCTGTATTAGGAGTTCCTTTTCGTAGTTCTATAGCCACTGCCACTTCGGTATTACTTGAGTCACATGAACCCCTGTGACACTGCTGTAAGAATAAAGGCTAAGCCCTACCTGCCGGTTACAGCCACATCCATCCTTTCTCTAACATGCCTCTCTGACCTACTTAACTCAGACCATATCCAAGCCTTTCTTCTCTATCACATTTCCCTCCCTTTCTACCAGGTACTTTTCTTAAAAAAAAAAAAAAAAAAATTAAGACAAGCTATTACTATATAATCCAGTCAAGACAGGATCTTGTCTGCCTCCACTTCCAAATGTTAAAATTTCAGGTGGCACTGTTGGACCCAGCATTTAAAGAATAGCTACCTATGGTTTCCAGATCACATCTACACTGCAGAGCATTCAGAATTCTACTCTATCACTTCACTACATCCATGTATCTTGGCCACACTTAACTATAAGACTTTCCTGTACCGGTCTTGGTCCACTGAATGCTGGTAAACATCTGACAAACTTCTGTTCCCTCTCAAAAACGAACTAGTTGATTATCTCTTCGGTAAAAATTTAACTTATCCCTTCCTCTAAGAGAATTTAGATGCTTTTTTTCATGGTTGTTCCTCCTCTCTCCCTCCTCCTTTCTCACTCCTGAGAGGAGCCTGGGGCCTCATTCATACTTGGCAAGAGCTCTACTACAAAGTTGTTATCTTGAGCCCAAAGTAAATCATCTTTCTGAAAACTCTTCTATTTCTCATCTCCTTTACTAAAGCAACAGTTTCTTGAGGTCTTGATTTCAGTGTTAAACTTTGTCTCTTCTACGGTTAAAGACATGGTAATGTTAATAGATTTTAGGTTATGAGTCTTTAGAATCAGCTTAGTATTATTCATAATGTAATTAAAATGATGTTCAAATTCTATTCAAGAAAAAGAGAAAGGGAGACACTTCTATTGTAGCACATAAAAACACCATCCTTGGCCCTGATGAATGTATTTGTTTTTGTAATTCACCAGAACAATAATATATATATATGTATATATATAATGTTTATATACATATATTATATATGTGTGTGTGTGTATATATATATATATATATTTCAATTTTTAGGTGGGGGTGAAGTATAAAGGTACTGAGTAAAATCTGTAATTATTTCTAAGAGTTACTATTAATCTTAGTTCATATTATTCACTGTTATAACAGTAAGATTATAATGAGCAAATTTAGAAACTATGTCAGGAAACACACTCAGGGAAATTTCTCTAGAGTGCTTAAAATTAACCAAGCTAAAAATGCTTTTTAACATTGTTCCAAAATTAGTGAGAGCTATGTACGAAATGCCATTCTGTCACTTATTGAAAGTAGAGTCAAAGGTACATTTAACTTTTGTAGTTATATCCAGGATATTGGATAAGCAACATAGGAAACAAGCCACTAGCCTAAGCTATTGTCTGCATGCTTACAGACTTACTTTGCATCAAAATAATTATTCATGTTAGATCTGTTAGATGACCTACCAATTCAAAATCCTCCATGGAGTTTAAAGTATTGACAGTAAACATGAACTAGGAATATTTTAGTATTACATGATTATATTTCTAAAGGAAACTATCTTGCATATTAAGCAAAAACAAACACGGAAAAAAAAAATCTACCCAACAGCACTTCCTACTTACTTCCAAGTTTTGACATTCCTGAGCAGAATTAGTAGGCAGGCCAATCCACTTTATTTCTTTTTTTTCCTTTGAAATTATGTTCATTGCCATTAGCACATTTAAAGCATCGTAAACTCTTCGTCTAATGTTCTTCTGATCATAAGCCTGCTAAAAATATTTTTATTAAGTTATACATTTTAAAGGTTATCTTTCACATGCTATTGATATTAATAATAGTATCTCCCAACTGCTGGGAAAAAAATTCTATGCCCAGCGAAAACATTTTCAGAATTCAATATGTAATGAAGATACTTTCAAACTTTTTTTTTTTCTCACTTGTGTGTGTGTGTGAGGGGTGGTGAGTGGCCACATTCTTGCCTTAGTGTCCATGTAGAGTTCAGAAGCCCAATCTCTTCTTCCACCATGTAACCCTGTAACTGACCTCAGGTCATCAGGCTTGCTGCCAAAACGCCTTTGTCAGCTGAGGCATCTTACCAGCTCTAAAGACACTTTTCATTTATTTATTTTTTACGTTGTTCTGAGGGTTGAACCCAAGGCCTCAAGCATGCTAAAAGTGTGCTCTACCCACTGGGTTATACCTCCAGCCCTGAAGACACTTTTAACATAAAATAACCTCAGAAACAAATGCTATTCTACCACTAGACTGACATTTAAAAATACTACAGAGACTTCTTTGGGTAGGAGAATCTTACTAAAAATGGAAGCTTGAAAATGTAGAAAACATAAATACATGGGTAAATCTCAGCTGCATTAAAGTTATCTTAAGAAGTCCAGAATACGTAGAAATTAATATACATGATAAATGTTTATAGAGAGAGGTAAAGTTTTCAAGAATTATTTGGAAGAATTTTATACTTTAAAACACCAAGGGCTGGGGAGATAGCTGAGCGGGTAAAGTGCTTTGCTATGCAAGCCTGAAAATCTACGTTTGGATCCTGATCATCTACATAAAAGCCAACTACAACAGGCATGCATCTGTAACCCCAGTACCAAGGCTTACTGGCCTCCCGGCTGGCCCATCAGTAAGCCTCAGG